CCAGGTGGTTGCCGTCACTTTCTGGAACTCCCCATGGGTGCTGGAGCACAAAGCCTCGGAGGATCGATGGCCATTCCTCTCCTGTGCTTGTAATTTGTCAGCTGGCTATGGAATGTGTGGAGGGAAAGCAAAGCAGGGGCAGGCTGACACCTCTTTCCCCAGCATCCATGCAAATGACAGCCTAGCACAAGGATAAAAGTACAACTGTCTTACCTTTGAGGTAGAGTTGCTGCAATAAAACACTTCTGAAATGCAGCTGCCCTCCACGTATTTAAGGAATCTGCCTGTCTGGAGCTCCTTACAGGACTGCTCCCCACTGGCTCCCTGTTTGCAGTGATAAGGTAGTTCCTAAGGAATCTGGTTTGCTTTCTGCAGAAATTTTATATTCTGCCTCACCAGAACATTTGTGTAGGTTTCCTACTGCAAAAATCTTAGTAGGATATCGGTCAGTTGGAAGATCACAGTCATTGTTCAGCTATGGCGATAACCAGGGAGGGGGCTAAAGGCACAGCAACCCTTGTGGAGTTGTCAGTAATGATTCTGAAGTTCTTCTTCCAGCCAAGGTCATAGCCATGATCAGGTAATGAGCAACCAGTGAGTCACATGTTTCTCCTAAAGTAGGACTTTTAGTGCTCTGTGATTTGTGCAGGGAGTTGCTTTGTAAAGCTTTAAAACTCCCATGACATGATGCCAGCTAAAGGTCTCTATTGATCTCTTGGCTTCGTTTCCTTCAATAAAAAATTACAGGAATTTGATTTTCTTGTGACTTCGAACGGCTGATAAGAACAAGCTGCTCAGGCAGTGCCAATGAAGTGAAAAAAGCCCAGTGCTGTAACACTGCTCTCGCAGTGCAGAAACCCTGCCGAGGCGGAGTGAAACCCAAGTGTAACATGCTGGTAACATCCTCCCATCAGGTGGTCTTTCCCGCCAGCTCTAACTTGTCAGCGGCTCTGAGGGAAATGTCTTTGTTAAGCCATGAATGACCTACTTTGGGTATCTGGGAATAACTAGAAGCCGACCCAAGCCACAACAGTGCATCTAATTTTAGCAGCCCTTCATTTTGTGCATGTGAGCTTTTGTGTTCTGTGTCTACAGGAAGAGAACATCAGTTTCTTGCTGAGCCAAAGACGAACTCTTTTGGTTCTAAATCAGCCCCTTGCTGGGTCACAATCACAGTGAAATCATCGCGCTTGAAACTGTCGAGTCTGTAATTGCCATCTCAAGTTTGCATCAAAACCTAATACTGAGCCCATTCCAAAGGATCTATGGTTCCTGACCTCTGGAGAAAACATCTAAACAACTCATGCCGGAGAGAATCTGGGCAGCTGTGTGTTGTGTGTTCCCATTTCTCCCTTGGATTTAGCTGACCAATAGTAAAAGGGTCAACTTCACAGGAAGTTTCTGTGAGTTTTCCAGCTGAGTTATAAGGGCAATCCATGAGAAGTTAAGGATGAAAGAAGAGTTGTTAGTGTGTCAGCAGGGAGTCTGAGGACACTACTGGTGGCACTGACTGGTGGGCAAAAGATCTCTGTCGTAGTTTGGATAGAAGAAGCACTAAACAAATATTTGACCATCAATAGGGATACTAGTGCTGAGTTTGGAAGGAAGTGTTTGGAAAGAAGCAAATCCAGACATGGGTGAAGTACAGGCTTTCTAGCTTCCAGTACCTAAATTGGACATTGAACACTGTCTCTCTTGCTAGGAGGAACAACATGTAATATCTCATAATTTAAGTCTGCTGCAGTGTTAGGCTAAAATGTGTTTAAATTTCACCCACACTGCACAGAAAAAATACGAACAGAGCTGACATGGCATTAACAGCAGCAGCACAACAAAATGATTATCAAGTTCTCTGGAGCCAGGGAACCTCCCAGCTGATGGGACTGACCACAAAAGCAAGCAGCATCTGCTGACAGCTATAAATGGGGTGAACATAGTTTGGGATTGAGTATGTGATAATGTGTAGTGTTTCCCTGTGGAGTCTGCTGAGCTTGGCAGTGCATGCCTCTCCTCAGAGGCAAGCCCTAGGCTACACAGTCCCTTCTGTAGCCAGACTTGGCAGGATGAAGAGAGCGATAACCACTCTAACAGCACAAGTTGAGCTGTTTAACAGCTAAGCCCTTTGTTGTGCCGTGACAAGAGCACCCCTGCCCCATGGTTGTGTTAGGAGCCTGCTGTGGCCATCCATCCATCCCACCACTGCTGGCCCCTCCATCTGCAGAACAGCAGGAACCCCAAAACCCCGGCCTGGAAGCTGACTTCCCCCTTCCCAGGGCATGCACAGTGGAGGCATTTTAACCCCTTCAAAAGCCCATCCTGCTTTTGAGTTTTTGTTATTTCAACAGCTGTAGAGTTTATCCATGGAGATGTCCAGTGAGCTGTTACAGGATTAGCCTCAACAGTGGGGCAACAATTGAGATGCAGTTATCGTGCACTCTGAAAACGCATCCTCATCTTTTAAGTGTCCGGCTTTTCAATGTCATTTGACATACTGTTGGCAGCATATGTGTGATCCGTGTCTGAAGAGGCATAGTCAAAATAAACACAGGCAAAATGCTGGTCTGCGAGGCACTTTGTGATGCGAGTTGTGTTGAATTTGGTCGTTTGTCTGATTTCTGAATTTCCCAGGTTTCAAAGGACACCATAAATACACACCATTAGCAAAGGTGTTTATGTCATATTTTCCTCAGACTCAAGCTGTGGTTTTTAGATGTCCATACTTTGGTTTGGGGCTGGATTTGGAGGCTGCTGATCCTCTGAGGACAAGTGGTGATGAAGAGTGAGGACACAACAACTGTCATCCCCAGTTCACCGACCACAGGTGAGCAAGCTGCATGGAGGGAGGCTGCTGTGCTTCTGTGGAGAAGTAAACTTTGTCTCACAACAAGAAGTGAGCAAGTACTTGTACCCGAGCCTCCGAGCTGTTTACGGGGCTTTGTCTGCTGCCTATTTGACACCATTTGTTGGGCAATGTATCTTGCACAGCATCTTGATTTCAAGTTGTTTTTTTAATGGGGCAAATGAAAGGAAAAATAACTTGAAACAAACATTTCCTATTCTGTGGTATTTAACAGTGAAATTGTAAACCACAGAAGGGACCAGGCCTGATTTAAAGGTCTTTGAAGTCAGCAGAACTATTCCCACTGATTTCAATGTGCTTTGGGTCAAGGCCACAGTAGGAAGAAAACAAATGTTTTCTGCCCCTCAAAAAGTATTAACCCTTGGCATTCAATGAGCAATAAAGTCTGATGTGTAAAATGGGTTCCTTTACATAAGGCAGTCAGAAACATTTCATTTCCATCTGCTTCCTAATGACTTGTCACTAATACACCAAAAAGGAACACATTTATAGAAGTCATAATCATACACTGAGAAGAAAAACACTTACTACTGTTTTTGCTTCTTATCTTGCTTTCATTCCATTTTCTGTGCATTGTATTTCTCACTTAACATAATGGTTCCTATGCTGCTGGTTATGCTATCACAGCCTAGGCACTGTAGATTTGCAGTTGAATTGAACTTCACTGCACCAATGGTGGTTGACCAATACAACATTCTTTTTTCTATACAATTTAATCTTTAAAACATCATAATGGTGTCTGGGGGTTTTTTGTGACTGAGGAGAAATATGTCAGAGATACAGAATTTGGAGGGCAAAGAAGTGTTGTTCTAGGAGCAGTGAAGGGGGTGCCACTCCTATCTCACAGTTGGGCAGATAGGCTGCATGCAGCAGCTTCATGTGTAAAATCAGCAATAGGTTTGCCTGCAAATTTTGTCTCATCCAATTATGAAATCCAAGGAAAGGAACCTATCTGCCAGCTGCCTACTGCCCAAGGGGACCCATCACCATATCAACAGGCTATACTCAAGTCTAACGCATGACAGCAAGCCCATTGGGATCTATACATGTCAGGGCTTTTTGGCACAAAACAGCAAAGCCTGAGTAGCTGAGTTTGGCTGTGCAATAAACTAACACTATCTAGCTGTGACCAGTCAGAGAGGAGATCCCAGCCTGGCGGTGAGCTGCAGTAGAAGGTAAGACTGTGTGGCCACAGCTGGGCTGTGTTGTCTGCACGTGAAAGCAGTGAACCGGTGTCATCTGGAAGATGCAGCAAGACAGGGAGGGAGCTTGGCTTAAAGGTGATAAAGAAAACAGAAGGATATGGACTAATGCCATTTTAAAGCCCTCTTTGGTGGTGGCAATGACCAGCCGTGGTGTGTGTGAGAGGTATGAAGAATTTTTCGATGAGGGCGTCCCATTTCAGGGTACTTCCATGAAATCAAGTTCCTCAATTTTCAACACCAGCTCTGGGTGTCTTCTCACTGCAGAAGCCAGGGCATCAATGGAGTTTAACATTACTAACCTAGGTTTTGAAGAGGAGAAACCAGAGCAGAGTTAAGAACTCTTAGAAGGTTTGTAAGAATCATTGTTTACATTCATGGGGAAACCACAGAGCAAGGCAAACATAACATAATTTTAAAAAAAATGTGTTGGTTTTGTTCCTTTTAAAAGGCATCGGAGGTAGAAAGCATGGTACTGTTTGTACTCATGTGTGGGTACTGCCAGCCACGGTCCAAGAAGACACCAGCTCAACTTGCGCTTGCTCTCCAGAAAACCTGCTCCTTCTCCCCTGTATTTCCTCCCACTGCAGAGCTGCACTAATCTGGGTTGCATAAACACAGGAGAAAAACTGTCAACCAAGAAGAACTCTTCATTAGGGACTGTAGTGGTAGGACAAGGGGTAATGGGTTAAAACTTAAATAGGGGAAGTTTAGATTGGATATAAGGAGGAAGTTCTTTCCTGTTAGGGTGGTGAGGCACTGGAATAGGTTGTCCAGGGAGGTTGTGAATGCTCCATCCCTGGTAGTGTTCAAGACCAGGTTGGACGAGGCCTTGGGTGCTATGGTTTAGAGCGAGGTGTCCCTGCCCATGGCAGGGGGGTTGGAACTTGATGGTCTTAAGGTCCTTTCCAACCCTAACTATTCTATGATTCTATGAAATAATTTCATTTTCTTTCAGATGAGAAATCTGTGTCCTTCAGGCCGGGACATTGTGGTGGTCTCAGGCTGGAAAATCTTGTCATCACAAAGGCTGCTTTCCTGAACGGGTGTCTTACAGGAAACTGGATTTTCCATGGGAGTTATCCCTGTACTTTGGTGAGTGTTTTAGAGCAATTACAAAAAATGGCATACGGGAAAGCTTTCATATTTTTATAATACGTTAATGATTAACTGACTTCCTACATCTTTGTTGACTTAGTGGGAGAGTGACAAGGAACTGTGAGGTACCTATTTGGTAGCGTAACAAGTCAGACAATTTGCAGGCGCGTTTCTTTCCACCTCCCTTCTGGAACTCGCTTCATGCAGCTGACACTGCTTCAAAGCCTCAGGCAACTTGCAGGCCCACAGAAGTAAGTCTCCTTTTTTTTTTCAATGTGTCTTATTTTATGAAGTGCTGATAGAGAACAGATGGGGAGAGACTGAAATATTTATTTGTTTCCTATAAAGAATGTTTGCCCAACTGGGAACTGACAAATTAAGTTTTGAAGCATTAAATCGTAAGGATATTGCTAAGAAGAGACCTTAATCACTGTGCTGTTGGGGGTTTTTTATACTCCCTTTCTGCTGCAAAACTTAGATTGAACAAAGGGTTTGGTTAGTAAACCATGTCCAGTATAGACCAATAAAGCCACATCTAAGCTGTAAAACTTTGCAAAAGACGGATTTGAATGTTAATTTCAAAATGCATGCAGTGCCTGGCAACATCCAATGCAAAAATATTTGCTTAAAACATGAAAAAAAAATAATTCCTGCTTACACGGGCTGGGAAAACAAATCTGTGTGTGTTTTACATAGGAAGAATTTATCAGGAACTTTCTCTTCAAGGTATTTACAAGTTGCAGTACAATTCCTAAAGCAAAAGCGTCAGTTAGAAGGCAGGCAGGATGCAGGCAGAGAGACTCAACTTCGCTCTTCTGCTGTTACGTTTTGTAGCATATTTTGGTGTAGCTGTGCTGTCACTTACAAAGAAACAAGTATTGTCTCCCATCCTTTTGGAAAGCTGCCCCTTCAACCACCCACCCAGTGTCCATGAAGAAAATCTCATCATCAGGTTGCAGTGTGCAGGTTGTGTGTTCTCCAATTCCCCCTTCTGTGGGCAGCTCCTTACACACAGTCACACAGTCAATGCTTATTCTTCTTCCCTGGGTGCCTGTGCAGCACATTCCGGCTGATGCTCTGGGTGCTTTGGGTGTTCTTCATTTCTCCCACAGGCACCAGGCAGCATTAGGTCCCCTTCTTTTGGCTATGGGGTGACTCCTGCAGGGGGCCATCTCATGAGGGTGTGTATTCAGTGCCTTCATCTTCCCACTCATATGAGGTCCCTGGGACCTGGATGTGGTTGCTTTAGTCACACTCCTGACCCCTTAGTGCTCTTTTCTCTGTACCAGACACGAGGGTAGGTGAGGTTTGGGGCTTCCCTCTCCTTTCTGAAGCTCAATTCATCATATGAAATGATGCATTTAAGGAGAAGTCTTGCCAGTGATTGAATGGTTGGGGGCACTCTGTTTTGCTCCCCACAAGATGGACATCATCCCCTGGCAGAGGCCCTCACCCCGTCAGGGGGTCTGAGACCCAGTAACCCCAAAAGCCCAATTATATTTAGGTGCACTCATTAAGAAAGCATGCTACCTGTTTTCACTGCATTTACCTGCAGCTTTTACAAATTTTTCTTTCTAAGGCAGGTTGAGTCTTAGAAGGCAGATCTGAAACCCAGCTGATGTGTACGGGCTGATGAATGGAATTAAAAGGGCTTTTCAGTGGACCCAGTATAAATTCCAGAAGTGAAATGTGTTTGGTGCCATTTAGGTTTCTCTGCTCTGAGAACTGATATCACAGCCCCAGCCTTTTGTCACCAGCAATTACTTGTAGGAAAAGAAGAGTTAACAAAATTTCAAGTACAGCTCCATTTCTGTTTGCTGCTGAGAACATGAGGAGGTGGGACTGTGGCAACAAAGAACAGACTGTCATCTCTTAGACCACAGCATTTCACTTCAGCCTTTTTAAAGGTAAGCCTCATGCACAGATGACCCCCAAAAACCCTCTGTGAAACACCTGGGATTTGAGAGAGCAGCTTGCTCCATTTTTTCTCCTAGAAGCAAGCCTGCAGTTGTAGGAAAGTCAGCACAGCTCCTGGGCACCCTCATCTGTTTCTTGTAGCTAAGAGGGGGAAAGTCCTGTTTCAGTCTGCTCCTGAAGAATACAGGCAATGGCTCAACGTGTTTTCCATAAACAGACTGCTCACTGTGGAATGCTTGATTTAAATAAAAATAAGCCATAAATACAAAAGGATACTTGAAGTTTCTTTAAGTGGATGAATTCACTAGCATGTATCATCTTTTACTATTAGTTTCTGTCTTCTCTCTCAACTTTCCATTGCATGCTAGCAAGTTTACAGTTTGCTTTTACTCAGGTAGGATATTTACTTAAGAAATACATTCATGGAGGAAATGAATGATGTGTTAAGAGAGAAAATGATAGCGAGGGACTATCGGGTGAGAACCCTGTAGGAGCAGCTCTTCCTTTTTTAGCTATCTGGACTTTGCAAAAGGCTGGCCCCAGAAACTGCTGGAATGCTTGTTGATTAGACTGAAATTAAATGAAAATTATGAAATCACGGGACACTGAGATGGAACTGCAGCCATACTTAACACACTCCTCTTGCTTCTTTGGGTGAAAAGTGTTTCCAGTCATGCTTTTTTGGTCCACTGGCATACACACCAACCACACTGGCCTAGCTTGTTCCTCCTGGCAAGACTGCCTTTGTAGGCTACCTCTATCCCGTGACATAGCTGGCATGCAAATATTGGATGCTGAAATCTGAGTGAGCTTCCAAGTCAAGAACCACATGCCAGCAATACCAGCTAATCATCCAGAAGACCTTCTGTAGCTGACTGAATTCATGCTGAGTTCATTTGCCTTAGGAAATTTCATACAGTGATCATGTTACATCACTGTATTATTCAAAGCACATAGGTAACCTTACTACACTAATTAAATTAGTTAAAAATACTTACATGATTACTAAAGCATGAAAACAGCCAATAGATTATGCCAGTGCACAGACCGCCGTATGATCTGGGCTTTAAGCTACATTTTATCCAGTATAGCTTGAAACATGCAGGGACTGAACGGTCACATTTTTCTCTCAGAAGGCTGGAAAGGGCATTTACCCAGGGCTCAAACGGCTTCATTAACAAAAACTTTTCTTTCCTTTTTTATGTGAGTGACAAGTTAGTGATGGATCCAGTTCTTCCTTTCTCAAAGGGGAAGCCTCTGTCTTCGAAACCTACAGGAAGGGGCCTGCTGGTGTTGGAGCAGAGTTCAGCGCCTGCATCATCTCCCATGGATGGAGGCTTGGACAGCATTTCACCTTCCTTTCTCTTCCTTTTTCTTACCCTTCCCTCTCACAGCGAGGGAGCCGACGGGAACGCTGAAATCCTGGAGGTAGACGCCCTCTGCAGCTCATTCCTGGTTTTACTTGGCATCTGCAAGCGAAACGCCTTTTTTCTTTCTTTTTTTTTCTTTTTTTTTTTCTTTCCTTTGGGAATGTTTGCACAGTGGCCCTGAAAAACGAATGTATCTCGTTGCATTTAGAGGAAACGAGCTTCCCTGGTGCTCTTTGCCCCCTGGTACCTGGTCACAATGCGTGACCATGCGGGCTGGTGCTCCGGCTGGACCACTGCAGAGGGATGCCCTCGTCCCATGGGATGCCTGAGGTGTCATGGATGCTGCAACCTCCAGCAGTGCTCAGGCTTAGGGTTTATGTCAGAAACTTGAAACTAAATATGTTCTTATCCAAACATGTTCTTATAGCTTGCTTTTGGCAAGCGATACATATTTGGTCTCATTTGATGTAAAACCCATAGTGTGCTTATTAATACTCATAATCATAGAGACTGGAATGAGTACTCCATCTTTGTTTTAGTTATGACATGTTTTCATATGATAAGCAAATTCCTGTAACTATTTTACCTTGATATTTTGTTCCTGAAGTTCTTGCTGAATCTTAACACCAAAAGGTCCCAAGTACAGGCTTCTGACTTTCCAAATGAGGCAGGTATGCTAATTGTAATTCAACTTCATCATCATTCTCAAAAGTATTTCTTTTTCACCTTGATTTTGCTCTAAGTCAGTGATACCAGGTTAGATCAAGTAGGTTCCAGGGGGCAGGGTATGGAGAAATGAGCCAAAATCAATAATTTCCTACATACGCAATGCTTTGGGTAGATATTTGGTACCTCATCTAAAGCCCATCTTTTTTAGCTGGTTATTCTCCAGTGTTTTCAGAATTTTTGTGTAAGTCTTGACTTCTTCCATTCTGTGTGTTTGCTGCTTTGGTGGATTTTGTGAATCTCACAGGGAAAAAGAATTTTCCTATTTTTTACTTTTATAATTCAGTTCTGGACACCATGCTAAGTAGCTTAGCACATGATACTTTGACAGAGGGCTCTGTAATCATGGATACAACGTCATTTAATTCTGTGAGCAGACAGGTGAGTAATCTCAATGTTTGAAGATGTATACTGGTACCATTCTCTGAGCATCTCTCAATGACACAGATTTGCCTGCTTGCCTATCTTGTATGACCTTGACAGCAGCACGTTGTTAAAATGACTACTTATGATGTATATAAAAAGTGTTACAGAAATATGGGCTCTGCACAAAATGGTACTTTAACATGGTTGAGGATTGGCCTCTTTGTGCACAACTGATTCAAACAGAAGCAGAAAGAGACAGTGCAGGCCTCCTTTGGTCACTCTTTCCTATCATCTTCCCATCACTAGACGTGTACAAACACAGTGCTGTTTTGAGGTGGAACAGAAAGAAAACCATTTCAATGCCTTATGCAACTACTAATGTGCTGTGTGGCTGGTTAAGTTAATTAGATAGGGGGATTTATAATCATTTTGTAAATAATGTAGCAGATTGAGAACGCATTTATAAATAGGTTTCGGTTTAAGTAGATAAAACACAGAAGGCTATTCCGGAGCAATTTTCTTCATGCAGGAAGGGATTAAATGTTCATTTGCAATAATGGAGATTAATATGTCCCACAGGAAATCAGTCCTATCGGAGATACACAGATGAAGTGGGAGGCCAAAATGATAAAATTGCAGAAGTCGCCGTGCTTGGCTGGCATTAAAAACCACCCCATCCTATCTTCTTGTCATTGGCATCAGCTCCAGGACTGAAGTAAGTATACAGTGGGTACTGGTATGAGATGATGGACAGTGTTTGCTTAAGGCTATATTGTTATGAAAATATTATTTTATTTAATATTTCCATAGATGGATTTTTGCAACTAGATTGTATCACCAACTGAATCTGTTAGCTTAAGTAAGTAAAAAGGTTGCTGATTTAATAACAATGTGGTTGCAGATCTACCTTCTTACTAGAGCGAGCAGTACTTCTTCAGTCTTCAATTCAATGGGACCAGGAGTTCAAGTATTTCAGATGACTCATAAAATATAAAGATCCCTAGAACCTTTCAGATCTACATCATAAGTTTAAGGCCACATCTTCTCTGATCACGGATCATTCCTATAATTGTTCAGAATGTTGTATGAAAGACATGGGAGATCAACAGATTATTTTTTAAAAGTAGAATAAACACTTAATTTGCACTTGGAATGTACAAAAAAAAACCCAAACAACCTATCTAAAATCTTTTACTAAGCTAAATGACTAAAATCTTTTCCATGGCAGTGCTAGGATGATTTGAACTGGAGAAAATGGGCAGGTTATGAATGAGTGTGATTTGCAAAAGGGAAACACTAAAGAATCATGGTTAAAGTTTGAGGGTGAGCAAGCAATGGCAGCATATCCAGGCTCCAGCCACTGCACACAGCATTATATTTCTGATTAATACAAGTGTTCCTGCTAACAAAGTCATGGTTAAATAATCTAAAAATGGTCAAAGTATTAGACTCTGTGGCCTGGATTTGCTCATGTCTCTGAACTATGGTGTTTTGTGTGCGAGCCTGGTCCCAGCAGCTCTCAAACAGGGCAGCACAAAGCAAAAGTCTGTTCAGGTCGGGCTGAAAACACAAACTGCACCGAAAACACAACTGCAAGGAGAGAGCAGCATGAAGCATGGCTTCTGCGGCTGCTCTGTGAGATCTCTTGCAACCGCCAGGATCCTGAGGATTTTGTCAGATTTAGTTTCTACTAGCCAGTAACCTGATTAATGAGGATCTTTGAACATAGTGGTTAATTACCAAGGAAGAAAATAGCTTGGAAAAAGACGTGAATTTTCCTGTTGTGAATGTAGAAAGGAGATTGTAATCGGAGCTAATCAGAGACTCATTCTTCTCCTCGTGATACAATGATATATTCAGAATAAAACATAGATGTTACTTGTCTATGACAATAAACTTCAACAATTTATTACAGTTGGGGAAAGATGAGCACCGTCCTCCCTCTGTACACATATTCACTCCTGCTTTTACTTTTTCACTATCAGGTTCACCTATTCACCCAAATAATAAGTGTCTTTGTAACCTTACACTGTTTCTTCCCAGTGCCTCTCTCACTTCACATGGCAATTGTGCCTGCAGCAGAGCAGAAGACCTCCAAAAGATGAACTCCCTGGTCAGCAGCTCACACCTCCAGCTGGCTGCCCTTGCTCTGGGTACTGTAGGCTGGATCCTGTGCACTGTTTCAATGGGAACTGTGGAATGGAGAGTGTGGCATGTGGACAACACCACCATCATCTCCTCTGGCATTGCCTGGGTGGGGATTTGGAAAGTCTGTTTCATCAGTTACCTTCAGGTCTCACCTGGCTATAAAGAACAGTTCTGCCATAAATTCAGTGGTTATGACTCCTTCATCCCAGCTGAAATCTATGCTGCTCAGGGTCTCCTGTTGATCGCCATGTTCATGGGCTTGCTGGGACTGACGGCCACAATCTTCGCTCTGAGGAATGTTTATATGGGAATCGCTCATAAAACTTTCATTACCCGTTTCTTCCTGGTGGGTGGCTGCTTCTACATATTTGCTGGTCTGTGTGTCCTGATTCCTGTGAGCTGGAATTTCTACTCTGTAGCACATAACCAGAGCATTGATTTTCCTCCATCTTACTACATGCCCTCAAGCCCAGCGGCACAGGAAGTCGGTGCTGCCATTCCTGTCGGGATTGTAGCTGTCATCCTCCTGCTGCTAAGTGGGATTTTTTCTCTCGTGTATAGATTTCCGGTGACCAGAACCGCTATCACAAAATGCTGACAAGTTAAATCCCCCCAAGCTGTTTCAGAACAAGAGCACAGTCAAGAGATAAGGAGAGCAGCACAAGTGGCTTTATAATCAAGGCACTGCAGAATTTGACTTTAGTCTATAGTAGCCACACTATTTTTATATGAACCAGCTGAACTACTATCTTAGTTGTCACATATGACCGGAGGCTCATCTTTTGAGATGACTGCTGATGAACACCTGCAGTTAAGTTTTACCAGTTGTCCTCTTTTGTATATACAAATGCCACTGATTAATTTATTTTTTGTGTAAGGTATTTACCGTGCTCAAAGAACTGACTCTGAACTAACTGTCCTGTTGGAAAGATGTGAAATAATATGTTAAATGTGAACTTGTTTCCTTGTTGGTACTAAGCTATTATGTCCATTATTTAATTACCTTTGTTGCTAAGTATCTTTTGTGACACATCAGGACTTTTAATACCAATAATATGAGTGTCATCATGGTTGTGTCAGAGTCTTCCCTGAATTGTCTTATGAAGGTGTTGCCAGTTTCTCCTCTTCCTCGAGGGCGCATAAAGAGACAAGTCTTTAATGCTTCTATTTTTCTTTCAAGCTATTTGCATTTTATGTTGCAACATGTTTGCCTGTGGGCAAGGTGCGCTTAGTTCCTCGCTTAGGCAGAGCCAAAAAGTCTGCAACTGTTTGCTTCTTCATCAGACACTTCACCAAATCCAAAGGTATTGCAAAAGATGGAAACAACTTCTACCAGTTATTACAAAACTGTGAGCAAAATCCATGCTCTCAGTAACCAGGAATATTCAGTACAACTTTCAGGGTATGATTCATCTGATGGAGACATCTATACCTAAACTGGTCACTTCAGGCTCGGTTTATCACCAATTTAAAGTCAAAGACAGTCTTTTTTCCAAAATACATGCCCAGAATGGCTGGGAGATGGCATGCTTCCTAAAAACCTTTTTCTCTTAACCTACTGTAACGGCTGTAAACAACTACAGTTGCTAACGCTGGTGTACACAAGCAAACTTCACCTAAGCTAGACAAAGCTAGGTGAAATTAATCTGTCACGTAAGTGGAATTTCATATGCCAGTGCCATTAAAAAATAATAAAAAAGGAGAAATGTCACAAATGCTGCAATAAGGGCAGTTAAAAAAAAAAAAAGAGTTTGGGAGGAGTGAATAAACACTGCTGAAAAAACGGGGATTTCTTTAAAACAGATTCCTCAAAAAGTTATGACACTTTGAAAGAAATGCGACAGGAATCTAAGTAACTTCAGTTTTACTCTTTTCATTGTCCTCCGTTTTCTAAAATACTAATGGGTTCAGAGGAAGAAGAAAAGAAAATGTAACAAAACCAAAAGAATTCTTGTACAGTGCAAGAGAAGGTAAAATGCCAGCAAACCAGGTCTGACTGCCTGTGGCTGCTACTACCTCATCTTGTCCTAGAAGTCTAAATTTCCTTCATATCTTCCAGTCTTAACTTTGCTGTACTGTACTGTCTGTTTACACAGAGTCTCTACAGCACCTTCATTTCCTCTCCCATCTTCCAGTCTCTTCCGAGACAGCAGCTTATCTCACCACTACTAATTTTTTCATCTGCTGCAAGGATTTATCTTCGGACTGTTTACAATGATCTAAAGCACTTTCAAGTGGTGTTTCAATGAAGGCAAGACATTTAATATCTTGTTTATTATATACTGTTTCTAGTTTGAGTTCTACTATACATTCTTTACAATGTTGGTAGGTTTCAGTTTTAAATGTGCAAGTCAATAGAACTGTTATCTCTTCCCACAGGGCCCACAATAATATTTGATTTTATCTTACTGTAGTTGTAAGGTGGGGGGGGGGGAAAGATGTATCCATGTGTTTATGTCAGCATTTCCCCACACTAATAAACCACCAATATTCCCTGGCAAGGAATTTAAACTTTAACAGAAAATAACTATCTTCAAATTTTTGTGTTCATATATGCACAGAAATGCCAGTACCCCCAACTGTGTTTGTTAGCTATCTTCACTAAATTATTAGGTTCAATTTGCATTTATTCTTCCTGGCTAAAAGAAAAGGGAACAAATGACATCAGACACATGCTAAGTTTCTGCATTGGTGCCACAGCTGTTTCCACCAGGGATTATGTTCATCAGTGCTGATGTGTGGCTATGAAACACTGGTGGTGTGTCAACCATAGGCTAGTGGGGAGGAAATTCCCCAGCTAAACAATGGAATAGCTTACCTAAGGAGATGTGTGGGTTTTTAAAAGAACATTTTGTTAAAATGAATTTAGGCATAGTGCCATGAAGACTGTAGGTATGAGTGAGCCTGCCTCAGGACAGGGAGGTGATCTAGATGGCTCTTTTGGCATCCTTTCCCACTGTACTTCCTAGGTCTCCAATACAGCAGCCTATTGGTAGTCATACTCCACTATATCAACACTATATGTTGGTATTTGAGAAAACATGGTCTATGGTCAAATACCAGGCCATATTAAAGCTCCCAGGCCTTCCCTGAAGAAAAGATAAGAGGAAAAAAATCTTAGCTCAAAACAAGAGAGAGGCAAAGCTTCCATTGATTTCAATGGAATTGAGCCTGTCCAACCTAGATCCCCCAAGGCTATGGGATTCATTAAATCTTGGTGAATGTTTGCATTCATCAAGGTCTTGGTACTGGAGGACAGTAAAGCTCCTGTGCTTTTACTTGACTAGCGAGGAAGCATGGCTTCTTTGTGCGTATTTTCATGACACATTGGTTTAAGAATTTGAGAAGCTAAGTTACCTTTCAGCCAGCCAGTTTGTTACCATGTCAGTTGTGCCGTACAGGTATTTTTAGGGTTGTCTGCAAAATCTGGCAGCTGAAATGATTTCGTTGAAAACGCAAAAATGCAAAACTTTTGGAAGGCTATTTTTAACCTAGACTGATTTAGGGACATATGCTGTAGCCTGGCTCCACAGTCATTTGCAGTAGCACATCTGAGGACAGGAAGCAAACTGTAATGCAGACAGGAGTGAGTGGTAGGGGCCTTGAGGTAGAGACAAGGGGCAAGAACCTCTTCAGCAAATTTCCCCACTGAAGAGATCATATCGCGAAGCTCTGTCTCCAGCTTCAGAGCATACTGAGACCTGCTGCCTACCCAGTGACAGCACCGCTCGCCTCACGGGCTCCACCCTGTCTAGGAATGTCTCCACACCACCCTCAGTCTACACATAAACCAGTCTCACTTTATTTTTTCTGAGTTGACAATAAACAAGTGTCTTGTGATTCACTCACATGTCTGAATTCAATGCTGGGGGAATGACCTGAATACCAAGACTCCCTTTGAGTTCTGCTGGGTATCTAGACACAGTGATAAGGCACCCATCTTTGACCTCCATAACATACTATTTGGCATTAGTCTTCCACATGATGCTTTTTGTTAACCTTATTTATTACGTACCATCTTCTCACTTGTTCATTCATGATCACAGACCAAAATGTGTATGAACATATTCCTCTCAATATTCCTCTCAAAAAGGGATGCTCAAATAGCAAACAAAGCTGGAAAGTGCCTAATAGTAAAACAGGCTAACAGGACGAAGTCTACCGAGATTTTCTCCCCAGGTGAATATGCAATTCTCAGCAACATCATCTCTGTCCAGGTAAAGGAAAAAGGAGGAACTGAAGACATTATACTGCAGAGCAGGTCATCAAATTAATTGGGTTAAGTCAGTAAACAAAATTCTTATTCAAGTCAGCAGTTTTACATTAAAAGAGTCTTAATTGCTGATCTAGCTGATTAAAACAGATGCTAGGCTCAGAAAGAAATGTCTTTGTTGCCACATGGCTTATGGTATATTACAATGATGAGAGGGAGGGTGTTTTTCAGGAGAGAGCTATTTTTAGACCTTGGACCATTTTTCCCTTAGAATGGAAAAACTGAAATGTCACAGACAATTTCCTGCTCTTTAGGCCATTAAAATACTTCAGGACAAAGAGTTTTTGCTTAAAAAATGTAAGTCTGGCTGGCATAGTGTTTAACAGCAAAATGTTTTCTTAAAATAGGAAACCAATGTACATTAAATTAAAGGTTCCCAGAAGAGACATGTTCTCTGTGAAAATATACTTTTCCAAAACTGAACTGGGATTCCTTTCATTCTTGCCAACATCTGCATTGTCAAATCCAGGATCCACTCATGAAAACACATTTTTAAACAGACATATTTCTCTTTCCACTACTCAAATAATTTATTTCCCTTGATTGAGAGAGGTGAGATTGTTCAATAATTAGAGCAGTGGTTTGGAGTGTATTGGCTCACGATTACTGTGTCAAAACCAAATGTATGCCAATCAAGAAAATGTAAGTGAATCTCATCTCTGAATTATAAAGCCAATAAATAGAATCATAGAATAGTTAGGGTTGGAAAGGACCTTAAGATCATCAAGTTCCAACCCCCCTGCCATGGGCAGGGACACCTTGCTCTAAACCATATCACCCAAGGCCTCGTCCAACCTGGCCTTGAACACTGCCAGGGATGGAGCATTCACAGCTTCACTGGGCAATCTATTCCAGTGCCTCACCACCCTAACAGGAAAGAATTTCCTCCTTATAGCCAATCTAAACTTCCCCTGTTTAAGTTTTAACCCATTACCCCTTGTCCTATCACTACAGTCCCTAATGAAGAGTCCCTCCCCAGCATCCCTATAGGCCCCCTTCAGATACTGGAAGGCTGCTATGAGGTCTCCATGCAGCCTTCTCTTCTCCAGGCTGAACAGCCCCAACTTTCTCAGCCTGTCTTCATATGGGAGGTGCTCCAGCCCCCTGATCATTCTCGTGGCCCTCCTCTGGACTTGTTCCAACAGTTCCATGTCCTTTTTATGTTGAGGACACCAGAACTGCACACAATACTCCAAGTGAGGTCTCACAAGAGCAGAGGAGAGGGGCAGGATCACCCCCTTCCATGTGCTGGTCACACTCCTTTTGATGCAGCCCAGGATATGGTTGGCTTTCTGGGCTGCAAGCACACACTGAAGCTGGCTCATGTTCATTTTCTCATTGACCAGCACCCCCAAGTCCTTCTCCACAGGGCTGCTCTGAATCTATTCTCTGCCCAGCTTGTAGCTGTGCCTGGGATTGCTTACTGGCTTATAACTGGGAATGGAGTACAGTATGCACTGTTAAAATCCAATTCACAGAATGTCACATCACCCTGTTTCTCTTGGGATACACCTGGAAAAGACCAAGTGCGAAGTTGATTCCCAGGATGATATTTTGAAGAAGGATATACATTTTAACTGTCCAAGAGTATTTGCAGCAGCTGAATATGCAGACCGATTATGGTAAAATTTGGGAAAGGTAAAAAAGTAGATCTTGCTTTGAATTAACATTGCCAAAATATGATCGGATACCTGAGATCAGCTTCAAAGAGAAGCCAAAATGAACTTAAGAAAAGCAGAAGAAAAACAGAGGTACATGATACACAAGGCAATCCTGCAAAAGAGCAGGGAGGGGGCCCATCATGCTCCCATCTAACCATGCCAGCTTCATCAGAGTACCACCTTCAGCTGGTCAGCATCAGGAATGCTGGGCTGGATGAAGGGTGTCAGCACCCATACAGCGCAGAGCATGGCTTACCAGTGACACTTCCACCATCTCCTCCAGCACTGCTTAAGTGGGAATGGGGAAACTTAAGCAGTCACTGTAAAGTCTCCAGGGACTTTTGCGTAAAGGTCTGTCACAGAATCAGGTTCAGTGAAGATGAGTCTGGAAACCTTGGTTGCTTTGAAGCTTCCTCTTGGCTGCTATGATTCTGGGAGCACTAGGGAAAACCTACAAGCTTTGCTTTAAGAAATATTTATGAGGGCTGTGCTGACTATCCACATAGTGGCTTTTTCTAGCTGAGAGGATATTGAAATTGTTCACTGGCATATGTTTGTCAGTCCCCATGAGCTGCAATTTCTATTCTGCAGTGTAAAGCCAGTGTCTCATTTCCCATTCTCCCCACGCCAGCCTGGGGTGCAGGAAGTCAGTGCTGCCACTCCTGCCCAGATTACAGCCCTTGTCCTGGCGCTTGTGAGTGGGACCCTTTCTCTTTAACATAAACATGCTATTGTGCTGAATGCCAAGACTTCTTCTGATAATAGAAGCTTCAGATGCCTGTGAAAAATGTGAGGCAGGGCTACAGGATAAACATAGCAACCCAGTGACTTCATCTGCTCAAGGAGCTCTCTGGGTTCAGCTGTGACTCTTCAGCGACATTCATAATCTGCTGTTTGAATTCAGTGGAACAGAAATAAACTATGAGACAAATGATTTTCACCTAAAGAATTATTTCTTATTAACTAACTCTGAAACACTGCTGTGTCTTGATCAGGTAGCTAAGTCCACTTTAGTGTTGTTAATCAGTGCTTTTTCTAGAGTGACTTTCTGTATAAGTGGACTTTGTTTTGTTTGTTTTTCAGAGGTATGTAAATTTAATGTTCATTTAACTGAATTGTGCATATTGTACTCAAACACTGTATCAGTGGTGCCTTTACCAAAAGGCATTTTAAGGATGCTTTTCTTAAAAACTTCATTTTAGAACTGACCTGTACTAGTTCGTACAGTGATCATGGTCTGCGTTATGCAGGAGGACAGACATGATACTTGCCCTAGTTAAATGTAGCTTTAAATATCATAACCTATGATAGGAATAAAATGGGATTATTGAAGTGACTGTGTTTTAAATGTAAGGATTTCAAACTAACTGGTATAATACCCCTCTGGCAGGAAGCCGCTCAGCACATGCTAGTTCATCCTATCTTTGGTGAGCCCAGGCCATGAAAGCATACCCTATGGTCCTATCAATGTGATTAGCTGCAAGAGCATTAATAGCTTATCTTCTTGCTGCTGCTTCTCAGAAATGTTTGTATCCACCAGGACATCTCTCTATAAATAGCTTCATTTCCAGTGATAATCCAGGAATTTCAAGACTTACATTTTGCAGCGGTAATAGCAAACACTGCTTGGTGTGCTAGTAGTCCAGAATTCCCAAGTGGCATTCAAAGCTGATGCAGACAGTCGCCAAAGCTGGTGGAATTCTTCAGTGCCTCCAGGGTCCTTTTAGCTGCCATGCTCACTCTGGACCTCAGAAGGTGCTGCCAGGTACTGCTCTTTCTTCCAAAAGGCTGGTCAACAATCCATTTGAAGAAATAATTATTCCTGGGGAGATTCCAACTGCAAACGAGGAAAACTTTTACTTTTCGCAATGAGAACAATCAGCCACTGGAATAATATCTCCCCAGGGAAGCAGTGGACTCCCCAGCACCAGACACTTTTAAGATTCAGCTGGACAGCATCCTGGGACATCTTGTCTAGATCATGCTTTTGCCAAGAAAGGTTGGACCCAATGATCCTTGAGATCCTTTCCAACCTTGAATTCTATGAGTCTATGATTGACATCACCATGCTCTGTCTATGTCAGGAGGAGTTTTGACCACGATTTCACAAGCTTTGACATGAACTTTTATACAACAGTCATATCAAGATTGTTGTTACCAGTCAGAAAAACGTGCTTCTGAAAAAGCATTGCTTACTTCTCAGAGGCCTAGCAGTGCTTCAGAGAATTTTTTGTTAGTGAAACTTTGTATCTGCAGCATTCTGGAGTATAGATAATCAAAACCAACCTGAATGTGAAAAGATAATTCAGGCTTTTAGCCTGAAAAGTGAGTTTTACAGGAGTCTGATCATGGAAGCCAAACGGAATTTAGGAAGATACTCAGCATCTTGTAGGGTTGCTTTCTAATTTTAGTCTAAAAAGGCTAAGCTGTGATATGCAGTGTAACTGCCTAAGGACATGCTGTCAGAACTTCTTGATTTAAAGTGAAGAAAAACTAGATAGTTTGAAGAAAACCATCAGAAGTCTATACAACCTAAATTACCCTATTACTCTGTTTGTAAATCATGTTGTTTCTAGAACATCTATCAAGGAACTCCAATTCTTTTTAAACTGCCTAAATCAAAACCATCCTTATTGCAATGGACACTTCAATGCCTTAAGAGATCTAATTTTTTTTTTGGTCTTGTCGTGTTTTCTTGTGCAAATTGGAGATCAAGAGTGCATAAAAGCAGTGAAGGGCAAACCATGGGGGGCACAGGAGGATAGCAACACCAAACAGAAGAACTATAAAAATAACAATGGTGAGAAGAAAGTTGAGTGAGTCACTGAGGACAAAACTGAGAGAGGCAGGAAAATGTGAACACAGAGAAGCAGAAAGGTAAACTGAGAGAAAGGTGATTTGGGAAGGGCAGAGGATAAAATCTGGACAAAGGTTCAGAAAATACAGGTTTCGCCTGTGTAGAATTAAGCCTGAAATATGTTTTACTCAGAAGATGGGCATGGACAGTTTTACTTTAGGGATTCAGATTCAGAAGGAAGGCAAAAGGAGTAAGTTACACAGAGAGATAGCTGGTCTATGACTTCATGGCTGACTTGAGGGCCTAACACTCAAAACTGGAGACCTTAGAGTAGGTACACCTGACAGTGAAGGATGCCAACAACTGCAGATTTATACAACGCATATAAAAAATATATTTTGCAGCATATGTGAGTCTTGGCAGATCCTGTCTTTATACTAGTATTCATCGCCTAAGCCTGTCTCAGGAGTTAACTTTTGGAGTTACAAGGATTTGCAGACTGATGGCCAACATCTTATTTGAGATGACCGACATCTTCATCCTGAGAAGGTACACCCATGTTAGAGCCACTCCCAACTAATAACTTTCTCTGTCCATTCACTCCACTCTGATGAACTATACTGCAGTAGGAAGATTTAACCCCCAAAACTGTTCAATTGTTCGCAGAAAATCTTCAAAATTGTGCTCAGTTACTGGAAAGTCAGCAGAGAAAGCCCACACGAGCACCGCCTTTTATGAGTGCTCTCTCAGATTAATTCAGTGCTGGTGAGTAAACAAAAGAGGCAAAAAGTCCCAATAAAAAGAGCTCTTTGTCTTTTAAACTAGAAACAGTTCACAACAGAGTGGACAGACTTGACAGGAGGAGCTTCTGCTTCCAAGCTTTTACAAATCACAGACTTTTTTCTATCAGCCCACTCTGGCAGAGTGGTGTTGGTGACCGAAGTCTGGATTAGGAACCACAAAAATGCTGTTACCCAGCTCCTGTGGTAAGTGATCTAATCTCTCTGCAATGCTAGATGCACAGCTGTTGGGAGAAGTATTCATGTCTGTAAAGTACTCAGAAAATTGTTTGCATTGCTCAGACTACACCTGGACGGGTGAACTAAGGATCGGTTATTTAAAACCATTAAGAGTGAGTAGTAAGCAAGTAGCTACAGATACCACAAAGTTTTAGGACAGGCTGCCCTTTTTTGCCAAATCATCGCTGGGAAAAAGATTATCAGCTGACATCATAAAATGAAACCAATTAACATTAGTTGAGAAACTGTGTCTTGTCCTATATAAAGACATACATGAAGATTAAATACACTTAATAACTCTACTAACCTTAGTTCAGCCTTCGCAAAGTAAACACCTGGCAATGGGATTATGGCAAAAAACAAACATGTAATTTGTGATGTCTGTGCTAATTATTTGAATCCTCTTTTCTGATCATTCATCAAATAATACTTTTGTTATTTTGCATGTATTCTTTTTCTTCTTTTTTTGGTCTAAACTGTACTTCCTCACACTGAAAAGCTAGAAAGTTACTGCTGAGAGAAATAACTGATTCAAGCCTGGGGACTCTTGCAGAAGGAATTTGTAAAAACTAAAAGGAGTTCATCTTGACTGAGAAACTCTCTTCTCCCATGAAAGGCATGAAAGAAAGTTTGTTTCTTATGAATTTAAGCAAAATTGTTTAAAAAAATGTTCCTCTTAAAATAATTTATCCAAGTGGTTTAGACCACAGATGCAGTAACAGTGCTGTTGACTCATAATGGCCACAGCTCCTTGACACATTCCCTTAGTGAAAATCTACCTCCTCTAACAATTTCAACATTGATTAAATAAATTAATTTAAAATTAAAATCTTAGGAGAAGTAATTTGGGGATTCTTTATAGACGCAGCCCATTAGGATGAAGTCAAGCAGTAATTCATCACTGCTACAAGGTCCTGAAACTACTCCTTTTGCTTACCTGCTGGGCTGGGATGAGAAACGAGCTGGTGACAGCTCCAGGCAGAAGCCTGGATGCTCATCCCATGTTGCCATGCCGGCCGCAGGACAACCGAGGGCAGCCCAGCCCCTCACAGCGGGTCGGGGAGGAGGGAAGGGCCCTGTGCCGCGCTGCCGGGAGGCGGCAGAGGGCGCCTGCGGGAAGCGCTGCCGGACCAGGCAGGCCGGGCACGGAGGCACTCGGAGGAGCGGTCTGTGCCCGCCGAAAGCCGGTATTTGTCGTGAACCAGAGCAATGCGGCGCGTACCCCGGGAAGAAAGGCTTTGGGAAAAGGAAGGTAGAGTTAACCGCTCGCATCTATACCCGTGACAGGCATTTTAACAGAGCGCAGAACTTGCAGCACGCACTAGGGAGAGCCTTTGTGGTGGTTGCTTTCTCCCTTTTCAGACCCGGCAGAGCAGTATAGCCCATATGGGAAGGAGAGTAGCTATTTCTTCGGACCAGCTGGAGAATGATGGCCCTGGAAGGTACATGGTCATGCTGCCAGCAGGCTGCAGGTTGTGGCTGCCGCTGGATACCAATGGACACTGCTGCGGTCATTCACACAGGTAGCTAGCTTCCCATGGAGGTCTTGTCCCAGATTTTCTTCCTTAGAAGGCTGCCTCTCTGCACTGCCTACAGACAGAAGGGGAGACCAGATTACTCTGTGGAGACAGAGGAGGGGTTTAGAGTGATTTGTATTAACCCACCACCACCGCTGATGGGGAGGGCAAGGCCTGGCAGCATGTGTATGTGTGTCGCAGGATGTGTCCAAGAGAGACTTTCAGGAATGTTTCCCAGGAGATGCGTGGCCAAGGCGCTGCAGAACTGGTTTTTATGCAGGAAAGATGTGATAAACCCCCTACGTCCCTTTAGCACTTCTCATAATTCCAGTCAATTAATACCTACCTTTATATTTTTTTCATTCCTTGTGTTGTTTCATTGAATTTTTGCAGCATATAGCGTAAAGTATATTAGTTGTATTCATTAAACAAAATATTTTCCCCCAAAATAATACACTGTTTAAGAAACTTGAGCTGTTGGGTTTCTCTTTCCATTCAGCACTGACATTTTTTACTATTGATGTTCACAGAGTGTTTCTTGAGGCCAAATTCAGAATTTACAGAAAGGGGAATAAAGATGTCCCTGCTTCCCTAACAGTTTTTTCCTGACATATCAGTACGTTTTGCCCTGTTACACTGACTTTGAAATTCTACCACTTCAGAAATTCTGACTCCAGTTATAGAGGGCTGAGGCTGTGAAGTTTGTTGAACCATGCAATATTGGCATACTGTATTGAGTTGTATCTCTCTTTAGGGTGCTTGCTCTGTTCCCACATTGCATGATGCTATTCTGGTGTGCTTAAAGGAGGTTAGTTTTACTTGGAAAAACATATGTTCCCATATTACAAAAAATGGTACTGCTATGCACGTATCACAGAGCAGAATTAAACTTACGTATAATGTTTTCAAGATTCTACTTTGTTACACTGAGAATGAAGCTTCCAGCCATGGGTCTAGCACATGAACTGCACCATACCGTAATGTTGTTTTAGTTCTGGAAACTGCAGCTGAGTCTGAACATGACAGACCACTCTTGCCTACTGCAGCCTGGGCTGAGGCAGTCACTTGCATGCTAGTTTATTGATGTAGCTACAACGGATATGTTTATTTTATAGCAACTCTTTTTTATTACTAAGTTATACTCCTGTGGCAAAATTAATTATGATTATTGTGAAGGACTTTTTTCTTTTCAGTTTTTAAGACAGAACGTTTGAAGAGCTCAGTTTCCTACCACTGGAGAGGTTTTTCTCCTTTCTCCCTAACTTTCCTTCTGCTTGACGCTAAGCTCCCCTCCACAACACTGCCACATGTCTGACAGTTCAGGAAAGCAGACAGTACAGGAAAAACGTGTCCTGAGAAAAACACTGTGTATCACATGTCACACTCTTATGAATGTTTCAGGCTGTTCACATTTTAACCTGGCCAATTAAGTCAAGCTGGAGGAGGGCTTGGCCAGTCAGTGATGAGGTGTTTGGATTTAGTTTCAAGGCAAACCATCAAAGGACATTTCTTATGCCAGTAAAACAACCAGAGAAGCCTTCTGGTAAAGACTTCCTTCCTCTGGAGAATTTATAGAAAGGAGGGGGGCAAAAAGCTTTAAAAAATAACTTCTGGTTCTCTCACAGACACAACTAGAAGGAGGCTTGACCAGGTAGGAAGCACATGATTTTTAATATCCTCTCTACTGTTAAATCTATTATTAAGGCATGTGGGTAGCACAGTATTACATCCACTTTAAACTGTATGATAACCGTTCAGGAGAATTTATATAATTAGGTATTGCAGAACTAAGATAACACAATGGTGCAGAAATCTTACAGCTATCAAAGACAGCTAATAAGTTGCCCTTTGCTCTACCATTTAAACACATGCTACTTGAGCTGGTGTCATTCCACACCGATTTAAGGAAGCTGGGAGAGGTGACTAGCTGCATAGTGCGCTTTACTCACACACTGTTTGGGCTGGGGTTTTTCAGAATATTTAAGGGTTATTGGTGCTCAACTGCTTTTGAATAGAAGCAAAAAAAGCTTTTCTTTTTCTTTGATTGGAAGTCAGTATTGGACACGTAAATCTGTAAGTCTCCTTCCGTTCCAGCTTTCAGGTTTTTAGCTATTGAAGAACTTAAAATTCAGCTGGGGTGGAGAACGGAAGCTCCTTAGCAGGTAACATTGATGGGCAATGCAAGACAGAAGGCAAAAACTAGCTATGCAAGACTTCTACTGCACCAAAAATGAATGTTGCTACACTAGTTTAACTCAGATGCTGTCATGATAGCTCTCATTTGGAGAGATTAGCCATAAATTGACTTTCTAATAAGGATCTACAGATCTGGAAAGAAATTGCAATATTGTGCAGCAAGAGGGAGTGTTTGCATGTACACAGTCATGTGTCATGCCCTGCCTAGTAGCATAAGCTTTTTCCTGGCTGAAAATTTTCAGGCTTGGTCTGGATTACAAAACAGATTGAGATGGAAAGCAGCAGCACAAAGCAGTATTAATTCTGGGAAAAGATTTTAGATCTATATAGGCAGCTTTCAGTAAATGCAGCGATATGAAAGATGACAAAACATTTAATATGAAATACTGCATTAAAACAACAGACAGAACCATGAGATAGGTAGAAATTACATTCTTTCCTTATAATCTTCAAATATGGAATGGTCACCAAAATGCATATGCCCTATGAGTGAACAGCTTTATGGATTAGAACAAGTAAAGTTCCTATTGAACAATTTGTAGGACTGTGACCAATATTGCAAACACATTTGAAAGATTGTAGTTTCTTACAACAAGTAAATAAAACCCCAAAATAAAAATAATCAATTAAATTGGTTTACTTTTACTTGGCATGTATATAATGATTATAATTAATAATGCATTGCTTTTTACTTTGGTACTACCATAACAATCTGTTTCGCCGTTTAGCTTTCCTAAAGTTTTCTGTATGTTTCCTTGTTAGACAAGCAATTTCCTCTGAAAAGACTGCTGGTTCCTCTTTTGGTTACTGTGTTGGCTTTTAACCTGCTGTACCAGGAGCAGGCAAACTGGAGGCTGTCATTTGTGAATCATACCTCTATCTCTGCTCATGGCATTGCTTGGATAGGAATATGGAAAATCTGTTTCCCTCCAAACTAGATGTGTCTGTTGAATGTAATGTAGTGTGCTGCTTTGATTTTCATGTCAATGAAATATTCTTCCCTCTAGAAATGTGTGTTCAGATTCTCATGTTCTGTGCGTGTTTTGCGGGAAGATTAGGAATATTTTTCACCTTCTCCTCATTGAAGGTATTTATGGAAATGTTTCTCAAAGACCAGTTGGAGGTGAACACTTGAGGCAGGAGGAATGTCGTTAAGCCTTTGCAGGCCTCTGCTTCTCCCTGTCTGCGAGCTGGAATTTCTATTCTGTTGTAAACAATGGAAGTATCTCCTTTCCTCCTCCTTTCCGCCTGCCCTCCATCGCAGCCAGGCAGGAAACCGGGTTTGCTCCTCCTCTAGGGACCCTGTACGGCTTCATGTTGCTCACATACAGCATCTACTCCTCTTCTGTAATTTTTTAAGTCTTCTGTTGAGGTAAATACTGTGAGTGCACCACCTCAGCTACTGATGACGGGGCACACTTGGTGCTAACAGCTGGTTGTAGAAAGTTCTTCTGCCTGCGATCCTGTATGTGTAGGTAATATTTGAGTTAGCTGAGAACAAATAAAGCTGACAGCTGGAACTCACAAAAAGAAAACTTGTTTTTGCTAACTGGCTAACATTTGCAAGGATTTGGCAATGTGATTGCCAGCTGCTACAGCTTGCAATTGAGGTGACCTTCTCTTTGTATATAAACATTAGTCATTTAGTAAAGAATGTAAAAAACAGGTGCTCAGTGTTCACTGGTAATCTGTTCTTTTAATGGGATGCTGTAAGGTAGCACCTGACATAGAACAATTCCTTGTAGGCTTGTTGTTATTAACATAAACACACTTGTACTGTTACTTATGCAGTGCCATTGGTATGCATGGTACAGAAAAGATAAACAAAATGACAGATGCCTAAGCCAGATGAAATTACAATTAACCTAATGACAGTCAAAAATAAAGGAAGTGTGTCAGGAAAATGTGAAAGAACATAAAAATCAGTGCAAGCTATGCTAGCTAACTTATTTGGTTTTTTTTTTCTTTTTAAAGAGGCAGTTCTGCATTTTGTGGCTAATATGGGAGGTAAAGGTTGAAGCTGCTCTCAGAGGGAAATGCAGCTTCCAAACATAATTCTGACAAGATTCTGAAATGCAGCAGTGCTTTTCACTCAAGATGAGAGAAGATATTGAAGACCAAGAAATTTGCATGGAAAAAGCCACAGTGACTTGTGGAAAAAGGGAATTAAGCTGTCTCCTGAAGGTGTGCCCTTTGGAAGAGCTTTAAACCTAACTTTTCTATCAGCTGTATAACATAGCAGGACTTCTCATACCGTGGCCCTGCTACACTCAATCCCACACATC